CAGCAAATATAGCCTACATTAAAACAGTAATATTGTGAAATATTATTTGATTACAATTTAAAATAACCGTTTTCTATTTTAATATATTTTAAATTGTAATTTATTGCTGTGATGTCATCATGTCAAAGCTGAATTTTCAGAATCATTCCTCCAGTCTTCAGTGTCACATGATCCTTCAGAAATCATTCTAATATGATGATTTCAAAAGTTTGGGCTAAGAATACTTCACAGGAAAGCTGCCACAGGACCAAAAAAAAAAAAAAAAAAAAAAAAAAAAAAAAAAAAAAAAAAAAAGGCCTATTAAAACAGTTCTTTTAAATTGTAATAATATTTCACAATTATAGGCCTTCTGTTTTCACTGTATATTTGGTCATACGAATGCAGTGAGCAAAAGAGACTTTCAAAAACATACACAATCTTAATTATTCAAAATGTTTGTAGTTTTTATGCACATACTGTAACTTTAAGGATGTCTTTGCTTCATCATGCATGTCTATAAAAGCGAATTCATAGAGGTTTTCCATATATTCATTAACGTTTATGAAAGCACAACAGTTACTTTGAGTTTGAGTTGATTTGTCATGTATTTGTAACGTGTGACATTAGTCAGTACACAATCTATAAACTAATTACACACAATCTGGTTGGTAAGAGTTTTTATTTTTGTACAACCCATAGGTCAAGCTATTTCACATCTTCTACAGAAATATAGATCAGTATTATTATTGGAATAAATACATTCAGAACCTCTCATCTATGTGCAGACATTATAAATGTGTTGTGTGCATTTGCTTGTGCATGCGTGTGCTTGTGTGTCAGTGTGAGTTTGTGCAGCATTTTGTGGGTATGTGGTGTTTTTTCATGCAAAGCGTTGCAGTATTAACTGAGCAGTGAGCCTATTGCTTAAGACTAAACTATACAGCATTAGTACAAAGAAGGCCTCAGCCAAACTAAAACAGGGTCTAGCTGTCAGTTTGTCTTTGGAATATAGACTGATTTATGATTTGAACAACCATCACAACCTATACTAAGCAAATGTAAGTATTTATCCCATTGTGTGACCCTGATGATACAAGCGACTAGCCACTGAAGTCTATGAACAGACAGCGCTGTTCTCCTACCTACGTGTCAGCTGATGGTACGTTACAGCCTAACACATGCTTAGATTTACAAACTAGCACAATATACCTGATGAGAAAGAACGAATAAAGCAAATGACTCATAATAAACGACCTGCCTATTCTGGCAGTTGTGACCCGACATCTGAATATTATAAATACTCAATACCAAATTTTGTAAACATAATACAGTATTAATTCGGCACATTGAAATATCGGTTACCATGGGCAGTTTATACACATATACAGTCAAGTCAGTACAGTTTATATAGGATTATGCAGAAATAAAAATTCAAGTTATATCATAAGGATGTCCATCGGTACCTATATGGAATGAGCATGATGCTATTGCATTATGGCACAAACACGCCACTTAAAGGAACACTCCGACTTTTTGGGACTTTAGCCTATTCACCTTATCCCCCAGAGTTAGATAAGTCCATACATACCTTTCTCGATCATCTCCGTGCGTGCTATAAGTCTGTTTGACGCACCCACCGCTAGCCAAGCTTAGCACAAAGACTGGATGTAAATGGTTGCAGCTAGCATACTAATCCAAATAAGTGACAAAATAACGCAAACATTTTCCTATTTACATGTTGTGATTTGTATAGTCACAGAGTGTACAAAAAACAAAGTCACATGAGAGACAGACATATTTTAACCATATAAATACTGGGAACTATATTCCCAGTCTCTCATGTGACTTTGTTTTTTGTACACTCTGTGACTATACAAATCACAACATGTAAATAGGAAAATGTTTGCGTTATGTTGTCACTTATTTGGATTAGTATGCTAGCTGCAACCATTTACATCCAGTCTTTGTGCTAAGCTAGGCTAGCGGTGGGTGCGTCAAACAGACTTATAGCACGCACGGAGATGAAAAGGTATGTATGGACTTATCTAACTCTGGGGGATAAGGTGAATAGGCTAAAGTCCCCAAAAGTCGGAGTGTTCCTTTAAGTGAAAATCAGTAATAAATAAAAACAATAACTTTGTCATGATGATAAAAAGAACACAAATATGAGATGTTCTGCTTTAAAGTTTCCCTCTTCAGATGAGATCACATTGAGCAGTACACAAAAGGCTTTTGGAGTCTGTGCTTCAGTTATTTGTTGACTCGTGATTGTCTGGTAATATTGGTACGATACATCAGTAGGTGTGCAGTAGGTGTGCAGTAGGTGAGCTGTGAACCGAACCGATCAGTCAGTTACATTCAGTTACATTTACATCCCAACTATATGAGACAAAAAAATGCTGATGCTCAACATTAATTAAGTAAAAGATAGGAACCCTGTGTGTGAAAAAATCAAAAACAGTAAAAACATCTCCCACAGAACAGAAGCTCATTTGCTTAAACATGTCAAATACTTTGTTTGTCTGTAACATGAATTCGAGTTAATGTACTTGGGATGGTCAGTGACAAATTACTGCATTGTAACATTAGATTTAAAAAAACAAAAGTTCTGTGCTTAGCAAGCAGGTCATGTAAAATGTGTGAATGGCAAAATTATGTTAATTCAAATTAGAGGGCATTTTTATATTTGTTTTTAATATATGAATAAAATGAAAAGATTTAAAAATACACTAACATTCAAATATTTGTGGTTTGACGGAACATTTTTATGTTTTTGAAAGAAGTCTCTTATGCTCTCTTATGTTCGATCAAAATACAATAAAAACAGTAATGTTGTGAAATTTTATTGCAAGTTAAAATAACTTTTTTATATATTTAAATACGTTTAAAAAATATCAATAATACGTGTGATCATTACTCCAGTCTTTAGAGTGACATGATCCTTCAGAAATCATTCTAATGCTGATTTGCTGCTCAAGAAACTTTTCTTATCAATGTTGTAAACAGTTATGCTGTTTTTTTCCAGAATTCTTTGATGAGTAAAAAGTTCAAAAGAACCGCATTTATTTGAAAGAGACATTTTTTGTAACATTATAAAAGTATTTACTGTCACTTTTGATTAATTGAATGCATTCTTGCTGAATAAAAATGTACTAAAAATTGTTTCTGAGCCCATACTTTTAGTAGGTCACAAATGACAAACATTTGTATTTATGCTTCAGTCTCTGTGGAGAAGAAATAAATGAAAGGTAAAACCCCATTATATTATACATTAGTATTGTCAAACAGTGCATAAGAAACTAAAATGTGCTTTGTTTTTCCATTGCAGAATAAGCCCTCCCTCACAAACCCTCCATAATTCAACAATCATTCATTCTGTCTGCCGGAGTCCAAATCAATCATTTCTACATCAGGCGATACTTCAGGCCATTCTAATCTCATTCTGTCTTGGCACCAAAGGAATATCTGATGAATTCTATTGCAAGTGGCAAACAGACACAGCAGTGCAAGCCAAGAAAATCACTGGTTAAACTTAGTGAATCGTCGCACAGCAAACGTCAGATTAATTGATTTAATTATGAGAAGTGTTGCTAAATACATGAACGGAGATTTTTTTGCATTGAATTGCAAAGCACGCAATATCAAGCGAAAACGTTACAGTAAGACAAGTAAATAGATTTAGGAATATTTCTGTCATTTAGTTTGTCTTTTTTATTGTTTTTAGTGGTATAAATGGTTCAACGGTCAGGATGTTCAAGCTGCTACAACCTTTTAAACACCTTTACAGTTCTCATTTTGAGGGGGTTTGCGGTGGTTAGTCGTTTTGACTGTTGACTCATAACATAAGGATTCAATGTCTGTGACAGATCACTGATGCATTGTGGAGTTTTCCTGTTAACAATGAAGCTATTTTTTCCAATATCAATATTTCATATAATTATCTTGCTGACCCTGAACTGTGGTTCTGAGAGGTCTTTAGCCTACAGTATATTTGTGCCTACCTCCGGAAATTCCTGTGTGCTTTCTTCACTGAAATGTGTTTTACCTCTACACTGGAAATGTGGCTGATCTCTAGCCTGAGAGGTTATTTACAATAGTCTACAGTAAAATATAAACACACCTAACAAAGTGTGACCTATAATTAAATAGTTTTGGGGTAACAGGTGGGATGATGAAATGACATCTAATTTTGGTAACGCTTCCTTTTACAGTACAGTACTTACGTGTACTTACAGTGTACTTACCTAGAAAGTACTGGCTAATATAAGGTAAGTACATGGGTTAGGGGTAGGTTTAGGGGTAGGTTCAGGGTTAGTACCTAGTTATTACCCAGTAATTCTAATTACTATAATAAGTACATAGTAAGTACATGGGTAACAGGACTGTAAAAGGAAGCGTTACCCTAATTTTTAGTATAAATGAATATTTTTCCTTCATAATTTAAAAACGAATGGTTATAGAAAGAAACAAAGAACATAAAATGTGACATAAAAGAATTTCATGGATGTGACCAAAGCATGATGATATTATAAATGCTGATCTCTGTTTAAAACCAAGTGTGAAAAGCAAGTCCTGAAAAGTGAAGCCAAAGGATTTTGATCGCCCCCTGGTGGCTGGCTGCAGTATATGTCTCAATCTAATCTAATGGGACGCAAACCAAACAAAAAAATCCAATTACATTTCAAATATGTTTTTTTCCAAAGATGGTCTCTGTCATTTTAGAACGTTGTCATCACGCAGATGTATGTTAAAGTGTTTGTTTTCCAATAAGTTTGATTTGAGTTCGTTTTTGAAATCAAGGCGTACCATTGCGATTGAGTCTGCGGGAGTGGGAGTGTTGGCGGGACCTTGATGCCACGGCTCCACCTCAGGATCACTAGATCCTGCGCAGACTCGGGCACCGAACGACGTAATCTGCAACGACCATTACTGGGATATTTTGGCTTCATTTTTCTACTGTGGAAGGAAGCGGAGACACGCTGTCCTTTTTTTTTTTTACAGTCTATATTTACGTAAAACCAATCACTATCCAGGATGATATCTTGGAGTGCCTGGAGTGCACATTGACCAGCTCGTTGTCCTTCCTCTTTCCTTCTTAAATGTTGTGTTGAGTGAAAGAGGACATCAGGAGCTGGTCGGAGTGGTGGCTCTACAAGTACGTGATGCTGAAATGGCTGCCAGCAGACTTTATTCCTGGATGTATTTGGGTATTGTGTGTGTTGAGAGAGCAGCAGGAGCAGAGAGGAATGGATGGATCCAAACAATGCCTTTTTCTCTCTGAACCAGCTTTACTCAAAGCGCTCGTAGTTTCGAGTTTGTCTTACTCGTGGTACCATGTCAATCAACAGCCTGCAGGAGAAAGGAACAATGGAATTATCCACATTAGAGACATTATAGTGCGGATGACTAATGTCTTGAAGTTATGGAGAAAATAGAAACTATCGGTATGTTCTGTATATAAATAGACGATCGCAATAAATACACTTACTTGACTCCATAAGCTAGAATGATGAGTCCAATCAGGACCCCAATGGTCCCATCGAGGTACCAAATGTTGGGATAATGCCTAAACACCTCAGCACTAATGAGGATGGAAAAGCCCATGACACCTCCAACCATGGAATTGAAGCCTTCAGAAAGAAATAGAAAGAAGAAACAATTTTATGTTATAATGAATTTTATCTTCATGACACATTCATATAAGAAATAAATATTAGAAGAAATTAGAAATGTTACCTTGCCAACTAACCAAAATAGATACGTTTAAGTACTAAAATGACTAATACTAAAACTGAAATAAAAATAAACGAAAGTTAACTAAAATCGAATAAAAATGACAAAAACACATAACGACTAAAACTTAAACAAAAATTAAAATGAAATCTGAAAATATAAAACTAAAAGCTAATCATTTCAAAGTATTGTAATTGTATATAAATAGCATTGATAGAGTCACTGGGCTATTTGCTATGTTCATAGACAGAGACAAGGAGGCACCAGGAGCTAATAACCTGACATGATATGTGTTCGTGTGTGTGTGTGTGTGTGTGTCGTACCATCAGTGATTAGGGCTCTGCTGGTCAAAACCCTTCCCAGCATGAACTTGGCAACAGCAAGAATGGCACACATGAAGCCACTGACGATGGAAACGCTGAACAGGAAGTCATCCTGGCAGAGACAGACAGTAAAAGAGACAGAAAGAAGAGGTGTTCACAGTAGAAATGATACAGAGTCCATATGGCTGAATTATAAACTGGGAGTGAATGCACAGGCAATGCCAATATGGAGATGTTAAAACTCCATGAGATGTTAAAAAAGGCCAGTGGAATAAAAGAGGGATAAAAGTATAAATAGGTCTTTCAGTTGTGCATCTGTAACATGGGGCTCTTGAGGCGAAGTGCAGTTTGTTTTAAGCACAAGCGAAAAGTAGCCAATTTAATATTTAATAAGGAATTGAAAAAGCATGAAATGACAAGGATTAGACTGGACTACATACCATGAAGACTCACAAAAACTGATTTAAACATGAAGGCTATAAATATACAAAGCTAAACCAGAATATATATCTTAATGGCCAAACACCATTAATTGCTATATTGTAAAAGGAATGGCTATGCACTCCTCAGCACAGTGATAGTCTCTTGACTAATTACTTTTATACAAGCAGGTGTGCTTGTGCTTTTGTTAACTAGCTTGAAAATATGAAACATTTATAATGTAAATAATTTAAAAAAATATAAGAAATATATTACATTATATATTTCTCTATGTGTGTATGTTGCATGAGTAAATATATCTGCAATATACACTCACCTAAAGGATTATTAGGAACACCATACTAATACTGTGTTTGACCCCCTTTCGCCTTCAGAACTGCCTTAATTCTACGTGGCATTGATTCAACAAGGTGCTGAAAGCATTCTTTGGAAATGTTGGCCCATATTGATAGGATAGCATCTTGCAGTTGATGGAGATTTGTGGGATGCACATCCAGGGCACGAAGCTCCCGTTCCACCACATCCCAAAGATGCTCTATTGGGTTGAGATCTGGTGACTGTGGGGGCCATTTTAGTACAGTGAACTCATTGTCATGTTCAAGAAACCAATTTGAAATGATTCGAGCTTTGTGACATGGTGCATTATCCTGCTGGAAGTAGCCATCAGAGGATGGGTACATGGTGGCCATAAAGGGATGGACATGGTCAGAAACAATGCTCAGGTAGGCCGTGGCATTTAAACGATGCCCAATTGGCACTAAGGGGCCTAAAGTGTGCCAAGAAAATATCCCCCTCACCATTACACCACCACCACCAGCCTGCACAGTGGTAACAAGGCATGATGGTTCCATGTTCTCATTCTGTTTACGCCAAATTCTGACTCTACCATCTGAATGTCTCAACAGAAATCGAGACTCATCAGACCAGGCAACATTTTTCCAGTCTTCAACTGTCCAATTTTGGTGAGCTCTTGCAAATTGTAGCCTCTTTTTCCTATTTGTAGTGGAGATGAGTGGTACCCGGTGGGGTCTTCTGCTGTTGTAGCCCATCCGCCTCAAGGTTGTGCGTGTTGTGGCTTCACAAATGCTTCGCTGCATACCTTGGTTGTAACGAGTGGTTATTTCAGTCAAAGTTTCTCTTCTATCAGCTTGAATCAGTCGGCCCATTCTCCTCTGACCTCTAGCATCAACAAGGCATTTTCGCCCACAGGACTGCCGCATACTGGATGTTTTTCCCTTTTCACACCATTCTTTGTAAACCCTAGAAATGGTTGTGCGTGAAAATCCCAGTAACTGAGCAGATTGTGAAATACTCAGACCGGCCCGTCTGGCACCAACAGCCATGCCACGCTCAAAATTGCTTAAATCACCTTTCTTTCCCATTCTGACATTCAGTTTGGAGTTCAGGAGATTGTCTTGACCAGGACCACACCCCTAAATGCATTGAAGCAACTGCCATGTGATTGGTTGATTAGATAATTGCATTAATGAGAAATTGAACAGGTGTTCCTAATAATCCTTTAGGTGAGTGTATTACACATGCAGTACCATATCTGATCACATATACATATTATAATACTATATATTACGAAGATTATTAATGAATATAAAATTACATACATTATGATATATTAGTAAATATATTGTCACATATTTTTCAATAAAGCGACAATTCCTTAAGTATTATTCAATATATTTGTAATATATTAACAATATATTATTCTGTATTTTTTAAACATGTTAAACCATTTAATATATTGATCATTCATACTGTATATGGGAAATATATTTTCTTTTCATAAGGGAAAGCATCAAGAAAAAGGAAAACAAAAGGTAAAAATGGCTATTATAAATAATAAAATGTCTCTTATCAGTCCTTGGGACATTTTCAGGTGCAATGCCTGAAGTATCATCTGAACTACAGCTGTTTCTGTCTCTCTTGTTTTTTCTCTTTTCTCTCCAAAGTAAGAATGTCAGCTTTCCACCCACACAACATCCAGAAGCACTTCTCCTACATTTCTAATAAGACAGTTTGTTCAGAGACCTTCATCTCTGAGTAACTTCTGACAGACAATGAATGTGTTTAAATTCAGACTTTCATCTTTTAAGCTGTAGACCGGCTAGTTAAGACTGGCAATTTGGATGAACTGGACCACACAGATTTCAATAAGGCCACCTCAGAGATTCAGTGTGATGGCTATTTGCCAGTGAAGGGTGCTGAGATGGAGAGGCCAGGTCTAACGAATTTGAGAAAGGAGCTGAGGGCTGATAGAATGAAAAAAGGACAGCACATTAAAGAAGGTGGAAGCCCATTTCCGATTCATCCATCCTAATGCAATGAGAGAACCAAAAGAAAAGATGGCTTAAGGCCAGCACAAATCCATCACTAAAGCTACAGCGGTGATGTTTCATTAGCACTTATGGGGCAAAACAAGGCTTGAAAACTCAGCTTTTCAGGGAAGAGGTGGCATTCACACATTCAGTGGTGACTTTATAATATGACAATTTTAGCATGTTATTGAATATGGCAATGCTAATGCATTTGGTCTGCCGGACTACCCTACAGCAAACCCCTGAACCACACTATTTAAAGTCCTCATGAAATCAAAATTGACCCCAAAATTGCATACTGAGACCGAAATTCTTTTGCATGTTAAAAAATAAATATGACCTCACGTTGTGTTAATCACGTTTACCCACTGCCTCCAAAACTTTCGTCTGTTATTAAAAAATTCGGATCAGGTTTGATTTTCTGCGAATACAAAAAAACACATACGAAAATTTCGGACTCAGTGTGCAAGGACTTTTAGTCTGCTATGAGCGAGAGATGGAGAGGAGGTGTGCTAAAATAAAACCCTGCTCTCTATTCAATATTCCGTTTCACTTGGAAATATGTCACACAACACTGAAGTAAAATCAGTTGCTACTTCCAGTTCACAGAGAATTTAAATGTTGAGTCAACCATTTCATTGGCTCCAGGATCAGCAAAGGCCAATCAGCTTGTACCTATCAACATGCGCCCTCTAAAGTTTCATGACTGAACACACACACTTCAATATAAATAATCTAGCCTACTATTATTATTTGTACATTCTTACATTACTAAAGTCTACAATTTGATCAAACTAGAACTGATGTAGCCATTTAAATATATATATATATTTTTTTTTATTTTTTTTTTATTTTATTTTTTTATTACTAGACATGCAGATAGTCTGTTAGTATTTACATTCAGTGGAAGCACTGTTATTTTAGTATTTTTAGCTTTAATCTTTTTTATTTCAGTTTTATTTTTTTGTAATTTTAGAACTTAAACTTATTTTATTTGAGTTCGGTGAAATGTCAAGTTTAAGTTTTTCATCAAATATTTATATATTTTTTATTTTATTTGTTTTATTAGCAAAAATGATTTAGATAACAATAGCAACCCTGGATGTAAGTTACTCATTCCAGGAAATTGGCAACATTGTTCCTCTAAAAATAGACACATTTAATATGATTTTTCACACATTACAGATTTATCAAATAAACTGCAGAGGACAGTGATAAAAACTAATCTTGACCCTCATGCTGTGCTGCTGGAGTGAACCATAACAGATCCCTGACACCTATTATTCTTGTCGTCTTCGTCTATGTCTGACACCAGATTACTGCTGTTTCCTCACACTCATTAGCATTTCATAGTCTGGGAAGATGAAAAGGGTGGGAACTGCAATTTCCCAGCCAGAGAAATAAACACTGAGTGAAAATACTCATTTGCATTTAGATTTTCTTTGATAAGAGAGGTGATAGCTTTAGGCCGTCAATGGACAACAGTGATTGATTGTCATTAAAAATTAATCGTTTTTAGCTTCAAGCAGTATAGCCATTTTTTCCACTCTACATTATCTCACAATTTTTTCTTCCTACCTTACATGTTTCCTCATTCAACATAAACAGAGAGTATTTTGTGATGCAGAGATAAGTAAAAAAGTCTCTAGACGTGGTCATTGATTAAAATTTTGTTGGTAGAAGATCAAGAAAATCTTGTTCAGTAATGTCACATAATGGTATGTATCAGTGCTCAGAGATTTATCAGTGGTGTAAAAGAGATGAAAATAGGGATAGAGATTAACTCGCAAAAACATGAATCACCGCCTCTGAAATTATTATTCCACAGCTCTTTGGAATGGTGCCAGTCTTTGATTAATTAACGGACAAAGACCTGTGCTGTGACTGCTGGGAAAAGCCACATCTGACCTTTGAGATGAAATAATGGCCCTGTCCCAAATGGCACACTTCATATGCCCTTTCGGTCTTGTGGACGTACAATGGCTGCTGTGTGCGCATATAAATATGACACCCTGGCACTGAACTCACCACTTCAGGAAGAAGTTTGGTGGCCAGATCATGGATGGCCTTCCCCAAAATACACATAGACGACAAGATGAAAATTACTCCCAGGATCACACATGCTCTGTGGATGGAGAAAAGCAGAAAAGTTATGTCGATAAAATTATTCAATTAATACAATTTTATTATTTTATATGTTTTGAGTATAACTTATACGATGCATGAAATGTCTATATTTAGAATAATATTTAGAATCTCACTGTTCACCAGTCAGTAAGATTTTTTTAAAGAAATTATTCAGCAAAGATACATTAAATTGATCAAAAGTGACAGTATAGAAATAAGGTTGAAAAACATTCTGTTTCAAATAAATGTGCTTTTGAGCTTTCTATTTATCAAAAAATCCTGCAAAAAATGTGTCACAGTTTTCACACAAATATTAAGCAGCACAACTGTTTTCAACATTGATAATAAGAAGAAATGTTGGTTGAGTGCCAAATCAGCATATTAGAATGATTTCTGAAGGGTCATGTGACACTGAAGATTGGAGTAATGATGCTGAAAATTCAGCTTTGCCATCATAGATAACAGTTAGATAATATATCTAATTGATCAGTTATAACAGTTCTTTTAAATTATAATAACATTTCACAATACAGCTTTGGTGAGCATAAGAGACTTCTTTCAGAAACATTATAAAATCTTATTGACCCCAAATGTTTGAACGGTAGCATATATCAAACCTATTCTTTGTATATGTGTAGCTAATGTTGGTTCAAGGTTGAAGCCCTAATCCATTCTGAAAAATATGAAAACTGTCCACAATGCATGTTCATATTCCCTGTGTGACAAGCGGCCACTGGTACACCTACAGAGACCTGCAATTCTTCTCTATAGTATTGCGATATAAATCTCCCACTCTGACACATCGACCAGAAAAATGAGATTCACAAGCTCCAACCAGACCTAGGATGAAACCAGCAGCACAAACCTTTATCAACATAATACGTCTCAAATTGAGACAGTCAAGGTGAAAGCCAGAAACAAGGCAGATCACTCAACAGACTTGACAAGCAACCATGTTCAGACTTTAAAAATATTGCATTGGATGTTGGTGGAATTTAATCTAAGGGCATTGTGTTGATGTTCTAAGTAAGATGTTCCACCACAATTCTAAATGTACTAGCTTTACAAGGAACAGCCCTGCCAGTGAATTGTTGACTTATATTGTAATATGTTTGGAATATATTTTATGAATGTTGGTCACAGAGAAAGTATTATTCATTCTTTTTAGTGATTTGCTGCAGGTCTTTTGTACCATGCAGTGCCCTACATACCACAGACAGCTCATCTTTTGTTTACTTACATGTATTCTCTATGGGCAGAGTGCACTGCTGCAGCGTTGCTATAGCGCCACAGCACTATAATGGAGGAAAGAACATCTAACGTCGCATCAAACTGAAAAACAACAGTGATTCTTCAGTGCTATAGAAATGATGCTCAAAGCATCTCACTATGTCACAAACTGAAATCCAGTGATATATTTAGTCTTATAAAACATTTCCAGAGCTGCCTTTAGCACAAGCATGTTAACGGTATTTAATAATATTTATTCATTGAATGGTAACTGAACATTATATACAACAACACAATAGCACACACTTCCAGACATCTTTGCCTAAAGAATAAAATGTAATTCATTCCTGCATTGACATTGATGTAACTCTAATATGATCCCTGAGATGTAGGGGTAATTATTTTTCATGACAAATATATGCATATATGTAATAACACTGAAAATTATACTTACGGCAAATCCAAAAGCTGATGCACTGTGTCTCATGAAGGATACAGCTATGGGAAGAGCAAAAGAACAGAGAAGAAGAAGAGAGAAAGATATATCTGTAAATCAAACCATAAAGATTACACAGTACATTTTAACTAGTGTAAAGGAGCTGATGTTGTTTCTGAACTTTAGCTTATTCTGAACTAATTTTTGGCAACACCACATTAAAATTAAAAAGTAGCGTGGTATTACTTACCATTACATGGAATTATCCATTCTATTCAATTTAGTAACAATTACTTACTAGTAATAACAGTAAATGATGCATAATTACAAGTAACTAACACTAAACCGAACCCTAACCCTTTATTTGAGAAGTACAATGTAGCTACATCACCTTAAAATAAAGTGTAACACAATTTAGTTCTATTCTATACCATGGTACCACCACAGAATTTTTTTGTAAAGGAAAACAATGAGTCCCACAAAATTTATATCACTCAAAAATAAATAAATAGATAAATAAATAATGGTAACACATGGCATAATAATGGTAACATAATAGCAACAAAATTGTATTTTACAATGTCTTTGTTACATGTTATGTGTAGTTACTATAGTAATAACTCTAAACCATGCATAATTACATGCAATTAACCTTAAACCAAATCTTAAACCTAAGTACAAGTAGTTCATTCATATTTCTCTGTACTTAAATGTATAATTACACTGTAACAAGGACACCTTAAAATAAAGTGTAACCTAAATAATAATAAAATAGTAATACAAGATATCATAATATAATATAATATAATATAATATAATATAATATAATATAATATAATATGTAAGCAATAAGGTACGAGAGGCTATGCTGTATCGTGAATAAGTAACGGCTGAAGGGCGTTGTTAGGCACGACGCGAAGCGGAGTATTTCATATTATGCATGAAAGCTCAAATAAAAACAACATAGGAACCGCAGTGTTGCGCAGTGATAAATAGAACCATTGGGTGAAGCGGTCATAGCCGTGTTTTATCATGAATAAAGCACAGCTATTGACCAATCAGAATCAAGGATTGGAACTAACCGTTTTATATAATATAATATAATATAATATAATATAATATAATAAGCTAGAATACAACAGACAAATTGCTTTTGGAAAGGCTGGTGAGAGGATTGTTACTTTTGTGTAACATCAGTGAATTTTACAAAAAGAGAAAATGCCTTCTGTACATGTTCAGCTCTGAGCCCAAACTGACGGGTCATTCAAAGTACAGATCTGTTGTACAGTGTCTGCTGTTGTTATCAGTTGAAAGTGTACTTGTCAAATCCTTTGTTAGATTTAGCGGTATAATAATGCGAGGCCAAGTCACCCCACTATTTGCATCTATTAAAATGTGAATTGAAAAAGGTTGCCCACTGTGTTTTGACTTTTTTTGACAAAGCTCTCTGACTGCAGAGATGTGAGGCTCTCCATTTTACCAACCGTGAGCTTGCATTTGAGAGGCTCTATTTGCTGCCCCCCTCTTGAGTGAAGAACTCTCACTGTTCTATTGATCTCTAACTTTGAAGACAGACTCGACCACCACGTGTCATAGCAACAGAGGGGCTGCTCACCGCATGATATCTTACACTACCCTTGAAACAAAACAACAATTCTGCTCCAGATCTGTTGTTACGTATGGAAAACATGTAGAGATTTTTGGTTCATTAAAACAACTGATAAAAACAACTGGGGACTTTTTCAGAGCCCATAACAGATGTTGATGTAGTCAGTGTATTATAATACATAATATCCAACACCAACAACATCAGAGTGGTGGCATTGTGGTCAGTACATGAGACCCAGCCGGGTCGCTCACCACTCAATAGTTTGGCCCAGATATATGCTCCCATCCCATTTTTTTCTCTTCCTTTCCTAACTCTCAATCAATAAAAATGTGGCAAAAACAAGAAAAAACACTCTTAAAAATAAAGGTTGTTTATTGGCATCTACTGGTTCCATGAAGAACCGTAACAATCCATGAAACCTTTCCATTCCACAGTGCATATTCTTTGGTGGAGTGGAGTTCTTTACACTAGGGAAAAATGGTTCCTGTAAAGAACTGTTCATTGAAAGGATCTTTGGGGAAGCAAAAATGTTTGGTTCCATGTCATCGCTGTAAACCCCCTTACCCCTCCCAGCTTTTGGAAACTTTATTTATACGAATGTAGTTGCACAGCAAAACAAGTAGCTCAAGATTCCTTGAATTTTTGCATTTAGCTGATCAACAAAGGGTCCAAATCTATGGCTGAAGTGTCATAATACTAGAAAGAACAACAACCTTACAAGCTTAATTTCAAACATGTGCAATTGTTTGCTGTTGGCATCTGTAAAATTGCCAATATGAGCAGACAAAAAAAGTACAGGATCTGGAAAAGATAACATTCACATTCTTACTAGCCTATTTGCATTTGAAATATTCCGCCAAAACTGAGCACATAAGCAGGAATGTGATGATCAAAGAACCCCGTGAGTGTAGTTGCAGCAGAAGAAATATAAAGTAGGTCCAAAAAAGTGTAAATGTCTCTAGTCCTGCATTACATCAAAAATAGTATTAATATTAACAAGAGAGAGAGAAAAAAAATCACAGAATTATGTCTTTTTTGCTGATGGTTTTGTAATTACTTCAACAAGCACTTATGAGTGTGGTGTTCAGGTGTCATTAATCCCAAAGTATACTTCGTTTTTTTATGTGTTCGCTAGCTATGTGTACAGTCAAATGCCTAGCCTATCAAAGTATACTCCATTTAATAGCATGCACGCACACAGGCGGCCGACACTAGCCTGACTACGTCAGACTTCCTACTTCCGCTAATTTCATTTCGCTCCTGTAGTCAGTCTGAGATAGCAGCCTATCTTTCTGTTTTCCACCGGCCTGAAAACAGCCTGGCCAATCAACGAACAGAGGGCGGGCTGAAAGCCGTGACGTAGTCGGTAAGCGCCGTGTTTAAGATTAGGTCAGGGAAATCGAAAACGACCGCTGATCTGGAGACGCGGATGCAATTCGCTCTGTTGTGGAGAATATTCCCGGCATTAGCAAACTGAAGCCCGAACACGAAGAGTGTGTATTAAACATTTTGAATGGAGGTGATGTTGTGGCCCTACTCCCTTTGGGAAAAGTTTAATTTATCAACTATTACCGATCGTCAGCGAGAAACTGGGGAGCCTTTTGACAGGTCAGTGTCTCTTTTCTTTTCCAGGTCTTAAATACCGTAAAACTTCAAATAATAGCCCGGGCTTTTATTTGCCCAAATCGTCGAACTGCACCGGCTTGTACTTGAGATAGGCGTCTAACTTATATGAGACAGGCCTTTATAGTTGAGATGTTGTTCATTGAGATGTTGTTCCTAGAGTCTATAATCTCTAAAAATCTCCAAATGCTCCACGTGAAACCGCGGTCTTCCGACCTCTTACTATCTTGTCGATTGATTTTTATGAATATGCGCGAGGGAGAGAGAGCAAGACAGCGCTCGTGTTGTTTGTAGACGTGGGAGTGCGCGCGCGCGGCCGGGGCTCGCTCTCTCTCTCTCTCTCTCTCTCTCTCTCTCTCTCTCTCTCTCTCTCTCTCTCTCTCTCTCTCTCTCTCTCTCTCTCTCTCTCTCTCTCTCTCTCTCTCTCTCTCTCTCTCTCTCTCTCTCTCTCTCTCTCTCTCTCTCTCTCTCTCTCTCTCTCTCTCTCTCTCTCTCTCTCTCTCTCTCTCTCTCTCTCTCTCTCTCTCTCTGCTCGTTTGTGCCCTGTCAAGCGCAGCAGTCATTCTATTACATCACTCACAGATCAAAAAAGTCGTTTACAGCCATGTTCACCAGGGTATTTCGCTCGCATCATCAAGTGTTTACAGTGGAAGTTCGATCATAGATTTGAGTTCGATGCATGATGTCTGTGGTTTGATGGCTGTGTCGGCGCATAACATACGTCATAAACAAACTTATCTGATTGGTTTACGGGTAACCAATGATTTTAAACTTCAGTACGCGCCCCCTAGCGAGAGAGAAAACACTTCTCTATTATGCTATCCCAGACTCTGTGTACGAAGCAAAGTGAAGTAGCAGAGTCTGGTATTACCAGGCTAGGCCGACACATGCGCTCTAGAAAGTTTCATCTTTGTCCAGTGTCTGCACTATTTTTCTCCAGAAGTTATGACTTATAATAAATGACTTATGATAAATATAATAATGTCTTTGCATTCTTTTAAACTGAAGTTGCAGCAATCTCATAACCCCCTCACACAAGCACTTGTCAATGCGGCGGCCGTCTGTTGTTGTTGCAGTCTACGGTATTTTGTTGTTTCGTTTTCTACTGTGAAACAACCAACGCATTCTCATGCCAAGGCGTCATATACTGACGCTTTTGCCAAAGCGTCTACATCCGACGCACATGGCACCCTTTAGCGTCAATATAACACGCTTCGGTTATGGGTAGGTTTAGGTCTGGGGTAGTGTTAGGGTTAGACCACTAGGAGGCGCCATATATCTGCGTCTCATATTGACGCTAAAGGGTGCCATGTGCGTTGGATATAGACGCTTTGGCAAAAGAGTCAGTATATGACGCCTTGGGATGAGAACGGGCTGAAACAACAGTCCAGGCCAGTGTTGCCACCTTGTGGAACTAATTAGTGCAAAACTAATTCAATGCGCATTGGCATAAAAAAAAAAATCCAGTGGCACATGTACTACCAACGCTATCTCACGACCAATTCGTCCGAATTTGACGAGTGATTAAAAGATGGCTAATTCGTACGAATTCGTACGACCTCATTCGTACAAATTTGTACGATTTGTCTAAACCCACGTGATGGGTAGGTTTAGGGGCGGGGTCAGGGGTAGGTCATTCGTACGAATTCATACGAATTGGGCAACTCGTCAAATATGTACGTTTTAGCAAAAATCGTACTAATTCGTACGAGTGAGGTCGTACGAATTGTTACGAATTAGCCATCTTTTAATCACTCGTCAAATTCGGACGAATTGGTCGTGAGATCGGGTTGGTACTACACGTACACATAAAAATCGATGTATTCTCTG